AATAGGAGCTTCCTAAAAAATCGGGGACCGAGTATAGTACCCTAGATAGTAGGATCCTTATTATAAGGACCCCAAATAAGGTGCCCTTAATGGTTGCAAACTCCCAAGTCTAAATCGCAGAATTTGAAAAGTGCTTGGATTCACGCATCCTCCGACCCCTGACGAACTTGAACTTGGGATGCAAGCCGAGACTGATCGTCGTCTGTAGCAGTGTGCCCGTACGGTAACGTACCAGCATTATGGGATGAAGGCTGCCACAAAGACTGCACTATTTCACTATTGGTAGACCTGGGAACAGAACAAGAATCCATTCAAGATTTGCCTGTTCTTGTGCATGCCGGTCTGGCACAAAGAAGCATTGTTGGCCAACCTTCCGTGCGCTGAACCCCGCCCAACTGCGAAAGGGGCTGTCCTTTCGGCGAGTTGCCTGCCATGCCAGCGATGCCTTGCATGGCCATCGATGCCATCTGGGGCATCACACCTTGGGAAATCTGCAGGAGCTCTCCAGGAAGTGCTCGAGGGAGGGGTGTTGCTTGTCTCCTGCAAGTATTCCTCCCTGGAAGGCTTGTTTTGTCCGCGTAGGGCTGCTCATGTGCATTTTGTTTTAATCTCCGTCTCGTCATACTTGTATCTTTGCTCCTAGCCATTCTTATGGGGCTATTATTCGCATCGGTTGCGCTTTGCGGCAGGTATATGGGAGATCGAGCAACTGACTGCAGGCTGAGTAAAACAAACTCTACTATCACATAACCTCGTCTCCGACTATGGAACCTGTGCTACATACATACACATACATACATAGAACCCACACATCACATCTGGACGTATCTATCTGTCAAGACATTGACATACATCTGTGCGTGCAGTTGTTTATGCACTTGCTTGCCTATTTAATTTGCTTGCCTACTTATGTCTTAAGCTAAGTCCTAGTCCACACTGTAAACCCCATAGTCCTGCAGTGGTGTCGCGGAGGAATCTAAGGGGCAGGCCCGGCATGGTCGGAACCATTCCTGGATGTTCGGCAGAAGCCCCGGGTTTGGGACTGAGGGGTGTTCAGGGTTTGGGATGCAGGGATGAGTTAAGTGCGAGGTCGGCCGGCTTCTGGAGAAACCTCCTGGCACGAGAACCTACAGAGAGGCAGACGATGGAACAGTCAACTCCGTGCCGTCTTCGAGTTCCGAAGAAGTCGAACTGGGCTGTGAGTAGGCTTGCTTAGCTCGGGAAGGATCAGCTCAATTTGCTGCCCGTGGCAATGCTGCTTTCTTCAGGCTCTGAAATTACACGGCACCTCCAAACTGTGGACGGGAGAGGCACGGTAGTGAGTATGGACGAATTCCCAGCCACCCCCCTCCCTGGCCTCCAAGGCCCATGCCAAGGCCACAGAGACCACCCAGGAGGCCTCCAAGCAATTGACAACAGCAAGTCGCTTTGCGAGGCTCGCGGAACGAGCTTTCCTTCTGAGGTTTGATATTGCTGACCTTGTTTGAACATGTTTGAACACGGCCGCCAGGTCACACCACATGCTCGCTCCACAAAGTCGGAAAGCCGAACAACCCTAGCGTGGAAACTACAAAACCATGGCGAACACCCTCGTGACACAGCAGTTCTCAAAGCATGTGCCTGGCTGCGGCAGCATACCCATCTGAGCCAACATCATAGCCTCGTGGGCTACCAGCGGTGCTCCGAGACTGAATCTTCACTTTCTCTCATCCAAGAGACCCGGATTCACCTCTGAAGAGTCCGCTATCGAAAGCTTAGAAGTTCCAGCCTGCATAGGGTCCATGCTCATGCCGAGACCTGCGCGATGCTTGCTTATATACCGAATGTCGTTTTATCTGGCTCCACTGTCGGCATCATAGGTTCGGAATTCTATGTTCAATGTGGTTTAGCTGTGCCTCGTGCATTCTCATCATCATACTGCAACTACACACGTGCATAGTCATGGCTTTCGTTAGTTCCTTGCAACTCTGTCGTGGCTGAAAGTTTGAGATGTTCATGTCCTGGATGTTGAATGGCATGGCAACGGCTTTCCATCTTACACTGGCTGGCCGCGCATGCTTGATTATCTGATCGTACTGCTGTGTGTGTGTGTGTGTGTGTGTGTGTGTGTGTGTGTGTGTGTGTGTGTGTGTGTGTGTGTGTGTGTGTGTGTGTGTGTGTGTGTGTGTGTGTGTGTGTGTGTGTGTGTGTGTGTGTGTGTGTGTGTGTGTGTGTGTGTGTGTGTGTGTGTGTGTGTGTGTGTGTGTGTGTGTGTGTGTGTGTGTGTGTGTGTGTGTGTGTGTGTGTGTGTGTGTGTGTGTGTGTGTGTGTGTGTGTGTGTGTGTGTGTGTGTGTGTGTGTGTGTGTGTGTGTGTGTGTGTGTGTGTGTGTGTGTGTGTGTGTGTGTGTGTGTGTGTGTGTGTGTGTGTGTGTGTGTGTGTGTGTGTGTGTGTGTGTGTGTGTGTGTGTGTGTGTGTGTGTGTGTGTGTGTGTGTGTGTGTGTGTGTGTGTGTGTGTGTGTGTGTGTGTGTGTGTGTGTGTGTGTGTGTGTGTGTGTGTGTGTGTGTGTGTGTGTGTGTGTGTGTGTGTGTGTGTGTGTGTGTGTGTGTGTGTGTGTGTGTGTGTGTGTGTGTGTGTGTGTGTGTGTGTGTGTGTGTGTGTGTGTGTGTGTGTGTGTGCGTGTGCTTTTCTGCGTGTCTGTATGTCCCTGTGTCTGTGTGTCTGCCTGTCTGTGGGCGTGTGTGTTTTCTATTTGTTGCTAGGAGCATCAGATGCTGCATCGCGGCAGCAGTTTAACCTTGTCATGGTCATGTGTTTGGGGATTCGGGAGGACTTGCATGATCAGCATGCAGAGTTGCTCCTTCGTTTCGGCATTGTAAATCACAGGAACCGTGTTCTTTACAGAATGTCTCACACGGAGCGTCGCGCTGCTTGGTACTGGTAGTAAGCAGGCTTCCAGATGTTGCCTGCGAGTTGGGCAGCTGCCGTGGCGGCTGCTGGATTGACAGAACCTGCGCATGGTCTCGGGCGGCGCTTCGTGGCGCGGTTCGATCCCAAACAAGGCGAAACTTCGATACTCTACAGACTTGAATCTCGACATCTTTACAGCATGCCGTCGAATCTTACGTCAGCGAGGTCTGGTGGACAACGCCACGCCGATGCGGGTTAAAGCAACAACGAACCTCTCTCGGCACAAGCGCTCAGACCAGCCGCTTCTGTCGGCATGCTGAACCAAGAAACGAGTATGATAGTTTACATAACGACATACTATTGGTCTTACAGAGGGCTGGGAAAAGGAGCTGTGCTCCTTGGCTGGTGGCCGCTGCTGGTGTGACCTGCCATGCGAGAGGCTGAGACACCTGTATGACTGAAGTCGAGGTATTCGAGGGCCTTCATTGGGTTATATGCGGCAGTGGGAATCTCAGATTTCGGGTTGGGGGTTGGGAGATGACGCGATTCGGGCAGTTGCTTTTAGCCTCAAGTCTTTGTGCCGATTCAGAAACAACTCAAGCAGACCGGGAGGCATAGATTCAGCGTGTATCATCCGAGCCATGCTGTATGGCCCGCTTTAAATACACGCGTGACTCATGCTAGCTGGTGATCGCTTGAACTGTCTTGATGATGTCTGCGCCATTTAAGGACCGCTCAACGAACAAGTGTTGATCTTTCCACGGTCCTCCGTAGAAGGCACCCTGAAACCATAAACCAGTGTCATCTACCCGGCACCTTCGCACATTTCGGGGCGATAGGTAATCAACAGTCTCTTCGAAAAACAATTGCCTGAAACACCAAAGCAATAGCGTTACCCCCTTGGGTATTGGTCAACCTTTGTTAGCGCTGCCCTTTCTCTGAACCCTCAACCCATACGTCTACGGAAATCTAAAACCTCAACCCGGGTTTGAGAGGATACTCTAACATAGCTGTATGGGGACTCAAAGCTCTATGGCAATCCCTGAGCCCTCTCCGCTGAACCCCTAAGCCCCGAAGCCGTATCCCCTGGCCCTGCTAAACTTACCTTTGGTTCGTAGGGAATGGAGGAATGGGGTACAATTAGAACTACTACTACGACCATTCTTCCACTCCCTACTAACCAAAGGCAAGACTAAAAGCCACCTCCGACGACCGAGGCTCGGCTTCAGCCTGAGCCTGCGCCTTTGCTGCGCTCGGAGCCGGAAACGGAGGAATGATGACAAAATCTCTCTCTCTCTCTCTCTCTCTCTATCCTTGGGGATTGTATATATATATATATATATATTGTATATGATAGTGTATGATACGGCCTACAAGGATAACCAGAACATAACACGCTGCAAGAGTGATGCTGATAGATGCCATGGTGATTGCCTTTGCAGGCTGCACTTGCGCACGTGCTTCGTCTTGATTCGTCACTATACAGCATCAGCAACCCCAACCAATCTCAGGGGCTGCAGGCTCGGTCGCTGCCGCCGTCGCGGGCTGCTGCGTCGTTTGTTGCACTGGCTGTTGTGGCTGTTGCTGTGTTTGCTGCGCCTCTGCGGATGCGTGTGGCTGCGACGCGCCGCCGTCAGGCCTGGTTGTAACGAGCCGGGTTCTGCAAAACTCTTGGCTCCAACAGAGTTGATCGGGAGGCTCTGCAGTTCGCCGGTGACAGGCATGTCCATGAATGCTATTCCGTTGTGGACTGGGCGACTAGGTTGAACAGCTTCTATGGAGACACTTTGACAGACAGATGGAACGAAGAGGTTGTGGCCTATTGTGAACTCCAGAGCACTGAGAAAAAAAACAGCTTGCTCCCTCGATCGCTTTGCGCCTGTCGCCGCCACTCGGAAGCGAGTTAAGCAGCGCCTGGTTTGCAAGCAGCATAGCAGCTTAGCACGGAGCTCCGTGATACAAAAGCTCGCTCTCTCACCGACTTGGGTTCGTCAGCTGCAGCAGCGGCATGAATTTTCTCAAGCTTCATCTCCTCAAAACCTACGAGTCAAGTTTCTTTCTCAGACTGCGGATACGCCACGAAAGCTCGCGGAAGCTTGCGCAAAGCCCCCCTAGGCCTCCTGAAGCGCCTGCTGCTGCCTCAGCGCACAGAATTCGAGGGCTCAGGACCTACTGCACTGCATCACATAAACCATTGTAGTGTAGCACATGGTAGTATAGTAAATTTTACTATCACACAAAATCTTCCTGCTACATAGGCGACCTGAAACGCAGGATTCCGGCTTAAAGATCCCGAGTTGAGTGCCTCTGCACGTCGTTGCCAGGATCGCCACGAGCAGGCTCCTTGCATTGCGAGGCTGGGTCAATGGAAGCCTTTCGACTCGCACACTCGCACAAGTCACGGGTTCAGGCGACAAGTCTCCCGACCTATGACTAGATTACAGTCTACTAGACTACTATGCCAAGCCATACCATAGACTGTACTATACTATACGAAAACTAAAGTACTAAAGTATACTACGTATACCATGCCAACCCTCGCTTTCCGTCCTGCTCCGCACCACGCAGGAGCGAGGAAAGTGCTCCGGAAGCGGCCTCCCAGGGCTTCGATGAAAAGAGAGATCGTATTATTATTATTATTATTATTACTATTACTATTACTATTACTATTACTATTACTATTACTATTACTATTACTATTACTATTACTATTACTATTACTATTACTATTACTATTACTCTAACTATTACTGTTACTATTACTATAACTATTACTATTACTATTACTATAACTATAACTATAACTATTACTATTACTCTAACTCTAACTCTAACTCTAACTCTAACTATTACTATTACTATTACTATAACTATTACTATTACTATTACTATTACTATTACTATTACTACTACTATAACTATAACTATAACTATAACTATAACTATTACTATTACTATTACTATTACTATTACTATGACTATTACTATGACTATTACTATTACTATTACTATTACTATTACTATGACTATTACTATTACTATTACTCTAACTATTACTATTACTATTACTATTACTATTACGATAACTATTACTATTACTATTACTATTACTCTAACTATTACGATAACTATTACTATAACTATTACTATTGAGGGCTTCTCAGGTCTGTCGCCCTGCAGCTAACTTAGTATCGTATCAAACACGGTACTCTACTACGACTTATTATACTACACCACCTATTACACTGTACTATACTGCAGTATACTATACTATCTATAGCATAGCATAAACAGAAAAAACATCGTAAGTTGCAAATGACACAGTGCAGAAGAACACGATATCATAAAACGTCCATGTGCTGGACACTGAAGGCCACCAGGCAGCGCCACTTAGGGCAACCCGGATATCTCGTCATGAAAAGGACCGCCATATTAGGCGTTTTGTACAAGAGTGACTATATACTCTCTCTCTGTCTCTAGGCCGTTGCCTATAAACTGCATTAGGGACGAAAGGTGGTATAATTACTACTATACTGCCAGACCTGTGCTAGGGACTATACAGAGATGCGACTACTTGCGATTATCTTCACCCCAATAGTACCCAAGGATCCGGAATGCCCACGCCGGCCTTTTCCTCCTTTTTCGGCTCATCGGGCAGCGCCGGCAGCACCCACACGGTTTCCTGCGCAACAAACAGAGAACCGTAGAGCAACCCGTACAGCACCCTTATGTTAACCATCATGTAGTAACTCACATGTTCGCCTCTTTTTTGCATCCAGGTCCCTGAGACTAGGTCTCGCAAGTTCTTAGACCACAGGCTCTAAAACCAAGGGCTCAAGGCCCTCATGCACAAGCGGACCCAGAAAGGCACCTAAACAACGACCACAAGTTTGGGATGTCCCATAACCCCCTTCTTAAGTAGGCAAATACAGGAAGGAGATCTCACCCACAAGTTTATGTTTAACTGCTTTTACCCCAGATGACGGTCTTGCCTTGCTGGTGCGGCTCCAGTAGTAGGTGCCTCGGACGTCATCTTATGTACGGGTCTTTCCAATAAGTGTCTTTGAATGTTTAATACTGAAACTCCCTGGTCTGGTGATAGTTAGCCTTGCAAAGATCTGATATCTGAGCTAGGCTCGAACAACACCTCACATGCGACTGCCTTTCAAGGGAGCTTTAGCAGCTGCCAGTTGACGCGCCACTTATGTTGTTCAGGGCTTCAGGGTGTGCTACAATATGTTCCAGTAAGCCAGAAGCAAAGCAACCGCACAAAGAAACAAAGTGCACTAGATTTCGTGATGTCGTGCAGATCTCTATACCCCGTTGACACGACAGTTTCGGAAGCACCGATGGCGTGCACACGGTTGTTGCTGTGGCTAGTCTTGCTCTTGGCTAGTCTTGCTCTTGTCCATGTTGCTACCTGTAATCTTGCTAGTCAGTTCCTTTCCACGATTCAAAAAGGTTGTCCGGCGGGGAGACTTTCCGCCACTCCGAACGCTCAAGTCGTTCGTTAAGGCTTGGGCACCTTGGCAACCAAGTGGCGGCCGTCTTTCGCCTTCTCGCCAATCCATTTCACCTCCTCACCCTCTGGGAGTTTCCAGGCCTTTGCTCTGCCGCTCCGGGCTTTCTTCGTCAGCTGAGATGGAAAGAGCTGGGTCCCTAGAAGGGTGATGTAAGCTGCAGGGTCTGACGTTTTTCAGGATGTCCGGGAGAAACGAGAAGTGGCAACGAGACGGTTTTGTCACTTTAGAGTCTCGAGTGTTTTTGTGATTTCGGTTGAGGCTCGAGACGAGCCTGGTGGGGCTGCTGCAGTAGTTCTACATTTCATATGGCCACAAGCCCTAAACCCCAAACTGTAAGCTCATGGCGCTGTCTCGTTCCGCACACGGGTCCTTCTGGCACCACCTGGTCACGCCTCAAGCCCTCAGCCATGTATTATTGCAATGTAATGCAGCGTAGCAACGTATGTACAAGCAGTAAGACTACTTGCATATATATACACATATACCTGGGCAGATGTGTTTAGAGAGATATCGGACATGTAACAGAGGAGCAGGCTCAAGTTGGACCTGCAAGCTGCCAGCGAAGAGGAATGTGGCCACTCAATCAGCGACTAGTATGTCTTACACCACTATGATCGTATCAGGTGCCCGGGAAGAATAGGTCGTTGTTGCCTGTGGCAGAGCATCACCATCCTCGATATGTCACAATCCGCCCTAAAATCCTTAAACCCTCAAGCAGAGAGCTTCTTTCGGCTCGGCCACCCGGGAATTGTCACGGCGATTCCAGAAGTAGACGCGCCCATCGTCAGTCTTAAGCTCCACCCACACTTCAGTCTGCACCTAGGTTTCGATACTTTGGAGCTTTTGTTTAGGGTTTTGGGTTTTTACTCTACAGGATCAAGCAACGACTCTGCCGTGCAAAACCAGGCCTATCAAAGACGACGCCAAAGCTGTCAATGGCAACAGCTGGACTCAAAGAGACAGGGAAGTTTAAGTTTCGGGGGTGTGGGTTTCAGCAGCGTGAGGATAACGGATAGGGCACTTCATGTCTCATTGCGGTCACAAAAAAGAACCAAATCCTAGACAGGAGCAAAACGAATAATAAGTTGACGGCACACGACTTGCGGGCTTCCAATGCAGGATTCAAGCATGTGAAACACCCTTTAAACCGAGTTGCCATCTCTGCCTGTGTCTCTACAGCTCCGGAGCATTGCAAGTGCAGGGTCGGAAGCTGTTGATGCTCTTTGGGGTGCGACGAGGGTGGTAGGATGATTGCGCAGGTGAGGCCTGGGGCCTGAGTGGGCGAGTGCGAATAGGGACATGAGGACAAGTCATGTGTTGGCGCAGAGTCCAGGGAATCATCTCGTAGGGGGTATAGGTAAGGGGTCTCGTTTGGGAAACAGCATTGACTGCCCGTGGTGAAGCACACGCTGGAGCGGGGTACGGCCACGGATGAGGCTTCAGCGGTCGTCCTTCATGCACGAAAACACGTGCACTGCTCCTGGTCCACTGTCCAAGACTGTATTCAGGCGCATGATCGAACGGCAAAGACATGCCAAACGCTTCTCAATACCTGAACTCATGAAGCCCATGATCCCAAACCGCCAAGCCCGGTTCTGTTGCTTAAACCCGCAACACCTCTAAAGCTGAAGCGTGCCAGAGCCGACCGCCGCCACACAAGTGTATATGTGTGTCTGTGTGTCTCTGTCTGCGTGTCGCTGTGTGTGTGTGTGTGTGTTTTGTTTGAGTATATTTGTATGGATAAATAGAAAGATAGCTGGCTAGCTGGGAGGATAGGTACGGAGGTAGATGCTCAGACAAGTAAACCGATAGCTCGACAGATCGGCAGACTGTTAGAAGGAAAGGTAGACAGAGGTATGCAGAGGGCCAGAGAAATGGGTGCCGGTGTGGAGAGAGCTCTCTATCTCTACATGCATGCATACATGCGCAGCATCCCCAGTTGATCCAACTGGAACAATGCCACATGTGTATGCGAATTTACGTGCGCATGCATACAGCACATCCACATGGACATCTATGTATGCACGTTCATGCCCTTGTACAGCTACCTTGACATCCACATATACATAAACCAACAAATACAAACCACTACAGAAACATCAATGTGCACATATGTTTATATGTGCATACATATATATATATATATATATACAAACATATATGTTCACAAACCTAATTATCGTCTCTTTAGGTGTATGCATACATGAGCACTGACCCACTTCCATATGTGTATATATACACACACATACACTATGCAAAAGTATGCGTATATATAAATGCAAATACATAAAAGTTGATATTTACATATCTTCCACATGGACAAGAGCGTGCGTATATGCGAAAGACACCAGCATGTAACTACACACCCATATACGTGCATACATGCACGCATACATACATACGTACATAAGTACAAACATAACTTTTCATACATATGCATATACACATGCGTGAATGTGTGCCGGCCTTCCGCCGACGCAGCCAAGCACCGGTGGAGTGGCGTGTTGCCGTCCTTCAACTTTTGTGAAACGGCGAGAATGGATGACTGGATGCCCTGGCCTTTGTGGCATGGGATAGGCTACCTATGTTCAGAAGGACGGAACGGGGAGAGAGAGGATGAGATAGCAAACGATGAAATAGATAAATGAAGCGCACGGAACGGAAAAGCCTGTGGCCCATGGCGTTCGAACAGTTCTTCATTCATGACCCGGTTCTCTCCCTCCGGCGGTTCAAAGCCTTGGGGCACCTGTTTGGGAGAAGGGGCAAAACTTGCTACATCAAATGGCATGGGATAACACGAACATATACACAAACACATATATATATATATATATATATATATGTATATATATATATACACACAGTACATACATAACATACATTGTACAGGTTGTCTTTATTACAAACACGACATACACACGTACATACATATATACATACATACATATGCATACATACACTCACACATATGTGCCTACATGTGTGCATACACGCATACATGAATGCATGCATCCATGCATACAGCTGTACATACCTACCTACATGCATACATACGGTCCATAACTTACCATAGCACAACGTGACATGACACAGCACGGCACAATTTTTCCGTACATGAGATGACATACAGGCAGACATACGTTACAGACAGGGAGGTGGATGGATGGATGGAGAGATAGACAGACAGACAAATAGGTGATACACAGACAAGTGCTGCTTTGTCTTGGTTTGCTTGGTGTTCATGACTTGCAGTCTACGACTTACAGTTGTTGATCATCCGGAAAACGACTTGCGCGAGTAGGCATTTACACACCAAGTTGACTAATGAAAATCTGCAACCTTACCTTGGCAGTAATGCTGGACTAAAGCATAGAACCATGCATAAAACACGGCAAGTAGTTCTCATGTGCGGTCCGACATATTGACCTGATTTGACTTGCAGTTTGAACAAGCGCACTACCTTAAACTCTGAAGCAGTAAACTGCACGCATCTGTTGCAGCCGCGCTGTGAGGCAGGCCCTTCCAACCAAAGTTCCAGTTTGAAAAGGCCAGGGAAAAGGTTTAGAGTTTATTAGCCTGCCCCTTTCCACTTGCAAAAAGCTCGGCTATCGGGACCAGGGGCGCCTGTGTCCTCTCCCTCTCTCTCTGTCACTCTCTCTCTGCCTCTCGCTCTCGCTCTCTCTCTCTGGCCCTTGTAAAGCTCTATTTTGGTCCAACAGCCCCAAACAGGTCAAATTCCGTCGCCAGTGCTCTTAGGTTCCGAACGCATCTTAAGCCGCAAGCGTCATCAGCTGGAAAGGTCAGTAACACGAATGGGACATCCCGAAAACAAGGGCTGGCGCTCCCTAAAATGGAGTGTGAGTGAGTTTAGGGTTTAGTTAGGGCTTTGGGGAGCTTAAAAATTGGCAGGCCCCAGCTGAGGTCTCTCGCTCTCTCTCCCGGCATGCGGATGCACGCATACGCCGCTGTGCACCGTGTCTGATGGCCGGATACCATACCAAACCCTAAACTCTCTGCATCCTTGACATTCCAAGTCTCCCAAGTCTACCTTCTTCGCACCAACATGACATAACCACCACCCACCCCTGGCCAAGGCCGGCGCTGCGTCAGGGAGGGCCAGCACCCTGCAGACTTTGCACTGGCTCGGATAAAGACTTTCGAAAGTCTAGGCTTTCGATCTGTTAGGTTCCGGAGTTTAAGGGTTCCGTCGATCACAACTAACTTCGGGTGTTTGTGCTCTCACAACTCCAGCCAATTGAGGCCTCGTTGTTGCTTCCTACATCGCAAGGACTAGCCCGCAGGAGGCCCATACTATAGGGGCCTAAATAATTACCTATACTATTTTGGGTGTTCCTTAGTATAGTTATAGTATAATGGGCCCCAGAACCCTCTTTTTCCACCCCGCTTCGATGAGGGCTCTTTCGGCGCTCACACTCGGGCAATCCCGGAAGGGTTTAGGGTTTCAACATTAAGGGGTGAATTTGTTTCAGCAGCTGCACTGTAGATCTTCCCATTGCTCCTATCTACAGCCTAAATCCGGAAAGTGCCATTAACGCTGTTCCTTTCAGCTGGCAATCTTCGAAAAACGGCTTACTCGTTCACTACAATTAATTTCGTACGTTCGTGAAGACAGCACGTGGGGCAAAACACACCAGCCCAAGCATCTAGCCTTACACTCACGACACCAGTCATGGAGCGCAACTGTCCAAAGGTCCTGCGCACTTGCGCAGCCCCGTCGCCCCGGCGGCGCGCTGCGGCAAGGCCTGGAAGCGTCGCGGAAGTCATCGCGAGCTCTCGAGATGAAGGTTTAGTTCACGATCTCCAGCCCAATCTGTGAATTGCACTAGCTGGGGTGAGCGAGGCATGGCGATCGTCATTCTCTGTGAGCTTAGTTGTCCAGTCACAGAAACCCGGGCTACGGTAAGAGATTGACGCGAGTTCACGGATCATCAGTGCCGCGTTATTGCCAGCATACTCTGGATGCAGGAACCTGACAAGCCCATCCATGCGAGTTTTGCGGGGTGGCATGCGATATGTCAGCAATCTGTCAAACATTTGCCATGTGTCTACTTTCTGATTTGTCACACAACTTGCTGACCTACTTGTGTTTAGATTGAACGGCACATGATCAGGTTCACTTCAGTGAGCCTGCCTGGCGAACCCTATCGGTGCCTCAAGCTTGAAAGCGACACCCCAGACCTTAAACCAGTTGTAGGATTACTGTAAGGGCCTTATAGGATTACTTCGGGTTGTGATAGGGCATTATGGGCCATGACAGATTTGTTGTAGCTGGGCTTCCACATCCGACACTGATCCAAACCCTAGCTCCCGGGTGGCTGTCTGCCAGCCTGCCAGCCTGTCTGCTCCCAGAAAAGGCCAGCAAAGCTCGGACAAAGATAGTGCCAAGCATGCCCTAGTCCGAGGCAGAGGCAGTAGCTGACCCTGTCCGGATCCAAAGCGATGGCCGCACTCAGCAGGTCCTTCGACAAAAGGAGGGGGGTTTGTGAGAACTGGGGGCCCCCAGCGAATCGATCGGAAAGGGCCGAATCTATCATGTTCCCGCAGACAGCGTGGAAACATGTGATAGCACCGTGGGGTTCTTGCGCTGCTAGGCAATGGAGTGCTCTGCATGGAAAGTCTGCGCGGGTCTTGAGGATCAAAGTCGCGTTCTCGTCTGGCGCGGGGGCTTTCTCGAAACATGTCCCGGCTGTGATCTTCCAGTGCTCTCCGCTGCGTCTTCAACTCTTTCGGCATGCCCAGATTTGCACATGCGGTGGAACACAGCAAAGTCGACCTTCATGGGACATCCAATGAAGTCCTTACAAGGAATGGCTGTCCTGTGCCAGGTTCTCTGCAGCGCCTGCCTCGTCGTCGCTTTCAGCGGCACCTTCAGGAACAGAAGTCTTCAGGGACCTCCAGGAGTTTCCCAAACTGCCCGGATATCAACGAACCGGGAGCTGATCCCTTGGATCCTGGATTCCGGAGCCATAGCCGTAGTGCCCCAGTGGCCTGCCCGGCTGTCGGGCGTAAACCTTTCCAGCACAAATCTCACATTACAAACATGCTGATAATTGGCAATAAGAGCTTCTAGAGTGCAGTGGAAGCTTAGAATGTAATCCTGGTACGCAGCTTCGTGGGCACGAGCTTGGAAAGCCTTTTCCATCAGAGGTACTAGCTCGCTTCTCAGTATGAACAAGAGTATTTCGATATTGGCGACAAAATCAGCGTAAGATCAAGGGCAGTCTCTGAAGGCTGCGCAAGTGCATAGTTTGTCACTCCCCGGCCGATTGCCCGATCTTCCTCTGCGGGCAAGGATCAGGGAGCGCTGCAGCAGTGGAGGTCTTCTCGGAGGGTGCGCCTTCGGGGCTCTCGTGGAGTGAAGGCAGGGGCTTACTCTCTAAACTCTAAACTCTAAACTTTGGACTTCCCAAGACTGGGGTGTAAGGTACGTGTAGGGTCGTCTGGCGTCTGGTGTCTGCCCAGCCCTGCAACCTGCCTCCGCAAAGATCTCGGCTTGCCTAAGACGGGGAGACTGCTTGAATGAGAAAAAGAACACTACGATCTCAAGATACCAGATGGCACTTGTGCTCAAGGCTCTCGATTCCTGCCAAACAGCCTATGTACACTCTCTTGGGCGCTGTGCTGGTGCTACGACGTCTGAGCACTCGGGCATCGCAGTCTTAGTGTCGCAGTGTCATTTCTGGGGGCTCTCCTCCACGAACCCTGAACTCCTCGAAGCTTTGTCACATTAACCGCATAAGCACTGCCGTAGCGGCTCAACAGCAGGCAGGCGGATGTCTGTCCACACAGGCATGGCATCAAAAGGCTGTTGTAGGAATTTATGTTCGCATAGTGCTGCCTTCCATTTATCTTGCGTGAGTGCTCTTATTGGCTTGAGCTTCCGGAAGCCTGTGCGCGGAGTTGGTGAATGCTTTCCCTGCCGGCACAGCACCAGCTGCATCTCTGCATGTTGTTTGCGAGGCTTCTGGGGTGCACGGGCCGCGACATGTTGAACGCACTGTCGGGTCGGAACTTATCCACTAGGTTCCAGCCTGTTGTGGCTACAGGCTATATCCCAAGGCCGTACAGAGTGCATGGAGGGGCTTTTGTCTACGACATGTCCGAGACAGTTTGTTTTTTCATGCGCCCTGGGTCTCTATCCTTGGGCCAAAAACTTCGACTGAGAGGTACGACTTCAGCCAACAGGAGTTCTGGTAAGATCCTTGGTGCCACGAGTGAGACTCTGAATGTGCCAAGGCCGTTGTCTAACAAGGATTACATGATGGCTCTCGTCGACATCTGTCTCCCCTCCCGTCTCTGAGGCGCAAGGCAGAAAAGACGCTTTTCGACACAGCCCGAGCGCGGGAAGACTGCGCATCTTCGCCGCGCTGGAAGAGGGCCTCCCTTAAAAATCTGACGCCCTCGGCGCCCTCCTGGCGCGAGCACGGAGCCACGGGATGGTCAAGCCGTTGCTTGAGGCGCCTTCCAAACTAGGCATATTCGCAGGGTAGCAAATTTTTTTGACAAAATGTAGTATATAGTATGTAAAGGTACGGATCTTAGGCTGGGCTCGGTGGAAAAATCAGAGGTCCGAACAAACGCTCTCCTTCACGCCGGCCTGGGCTTCACAGGCAGGCTCCGTGTAGGCTCAGATTAGAGCCTTGGGAGTTCAAGGTTCTGGGTCGTGGTCCGAGTCCGAAAAAAGAGCACAAACCTCCGGAAGCAACTTATTCGTACACTGCTGTGATGCCTGCTCACCATGCAACACATTGCAACACGACGTCACGACAATCCATCGAAATGTTTGTCCCGGAACCTGAATTCGACTTGCAGGGATGGTCATGCACACAGTGATGGTCAACGTGATCAGACGCAATCAGGATCACCATGATCAACGCGGTGTCATCCTTGCGTCGCCATCACTGCCATCATCTATGGCCGTCATGCATCCAAACTTGCTTGTAGCATACTTGCACCTATCTCGATAAACTGCCATGTGAACGAACAACACGAACCTTCGGAGAGTTATGTGGATTAGGGCCGTAAACATGAGTGCCAACTGCAGGACTGAGAATGAAACAGGATCTGTTGTCAAACCATGACAAGTCAGATGCGCATGGCTTGGGAACGACGGCTGAAACCAAGCTCAGACACGTGGGCTGCTTTGCGTCCACTTTGATGAAGTCAACCACCTACCAGTAGCGTCTGGCTTTGGGGGGCCTCTGCCATCTCGCCCAAAGCCTGGAAACCTGTTTCGAAGAGGTTCGAGGCAAGAGGTATCAGCATTTGAAATTCTTAGCTTCGCCCGACTTGGGGTACCTGCTGGCAAAGGCTCGGCTTTCCCGGCATCCGGTACCCACCAAGTTATAGACCTGTCGCCCGACTTGTGGCAGTCCCTCGTGTCCTGCTTCGAATTCAGAAGGCGTGATGAGACATGGAACGGCTCTGAGCCGCTTGCGGCTTAGGGGATCAGACCCAGAACCCTGCACTGTAAGCAGTGCTCGTACCGTTCACAACAGATTCAGGTGCCTCGTTGGCAATCTCGATGCCAAACTCCACACCTGGGCAACATGTGGCGACGGCTGAATTGCGAGGTCTTTGCTTGCAGGTCTCTGTTGAGGATTACCTTTCTCTTTGTGTGCGAGACACCTGACGATGAATGAACTCTGACTGACTGACTGACTGACTGACGGACAAGAAGGCTTCACGACAACGAGCCTTTTTGGATCTGGGCCTTGTGTAGAAGTCTCGGGTATCTCTCAACCCCACTGTGAACGTAATTCTGAAAGGCTGAAACCTTGAACCCCTTTTAACTGGTCACACTGCCAAGGTACAACGGCCCAGCGCAACCTGCGCTTACAGCTGCTGCAGATCCCGTTGCAAAACTTAAGTACAGCATAGCAACCTCAACGTGTACAAGTGCCTGCTTGACAGGATGCGTGCCTGCTTGCATGCATACATGCATACATGCATTCAATTTCGTTCATGCATACATGTGCATGCATCCATCCATCCATGCAGACATACATACATGCAATCATAAATGCGTGCATTGCAGACATATTGGTTTGCGTACACACCCACCCACCCACCCACACGCCTACATACGGCACATGCATACATGTACAGAGACACAAACTCGATGATCTCATGCTGCTGCGTCTGGCTTTAGCTTGACTTCAAGTCAAAGGGCACCCCCACACCCCGAAGGGCATGACGGGGGACTTGGGGAACACGACATGAGCAGGCCCGCGATCGCAGGAACCCTGTACCAAGCCCCGTAGAACGGTGGCAGGCCAGCAGCTGAAGCGAATCCACCACGTCTCAAACATGCAGTCCTTTCTCAGTTTTGCTTGACTCTCTTAAGCCAAGAATCACCGCCGACGTAGTTGCCTGCGAGATACATTCCTGGGTCTCGTGAGTCTCGTCGGGATAAGGTCTACCCTGCAAATCGGTGGCTAGAAAATGCTGCTTGACTGTACGTAGACTACTGCATTGTTAAGTCCCTGGACACGCAACCTTTGCGCCCATCCTGAGGCAGCATGAAAACGGCTTTAGCACTAGGGCTGTGGGCCCGGGACCCTTTCCAAACCGAGCAAAGTCTTGAATCAAGCCCGCTATGGTTGCCAAGATGCCCTTCACGCCGGCATCGGCAAGGCTCTCTTTCACGTCTGTCAGGCGCTTGTTGTGGCCAATCTGCGAGCAACGAATACCCAAATCAATTTTGATGGTGCACGAAAGCATATCTTGCATAATACACGCTCCTGCACTTTGCCAGCACATCTCATGACGCATACATACGGGTTTATACTATGTCTGTACATACATACACACATACATACATACATACATACATATATACGTATGTGTATATATATAGTTGTATATGTACTACTATACAAGTATACAATATTATACAATTATACAACCACAAGTGTGTATATATGTATATACATATGTAGCATATACATACATAGGGCTGTCTACCTGTCTGCACGCAGATCTTCACAGACACCCGTGGCTCTTTCTGAGATACTTAGTCGACTTAGCCTCATTCAACGTCACTTTGGCGCATCTGCGTGCTGACTCGTTTGCGTTTGAATGTAGGCTCTGGTTTATGCCGAATCATTCAAAGGTACACATGCGAGTGATCCTGCATGCATGCTTCGCATACATGCATGTATAAGCATACGTGCATACAGCATGGGACTCGCTTCGGAAATATCTCAGACCGTCATTGAACATGCCTATATTGTAGCGGTCCGTGCTTCCTGTCGAAGCCCTTTCCGGTCAGACTGCAGAAAACACTTTCGTTGAACCGCATCTTATGGGCGGCCCAAAACCCCAGGGACAACATCCCACCAAACCCTTCACACTCACCTCCAGCTGCGGAATCGCACGATCCCAGACGCGGACGCCCAATGCTGTGGGGAGGTTGTTGGCCTCGTCGCGTCGGGTCCAACTCTCCGATTCAAGGCCATGCATGCCACGGCACAGTGTCAGATGTGCGTTTGGCTTCTAATCTAGTGTTGCTATGTCTTACACCTATGGCTCCATGACCACACCGGCCATTATTCTCATATTCTCATATCGGCTTCCATAGTCTCATCGTTCCGCTTTCATGTCAAGCCATTCACAGTATCCATGTGCGCTTGGTTCATGTCCGGCTGATGTTGCAAACCGATCTAATTGGCCCGAAAATCTTCCGAAGATCACAACGCAATTTTCGGAGAAGAACGGATGAAGACAAACCTCCTGACGGATATTCGCTGGATAGCGATCCCTGAGCCATGAACCCTCTAAGCCGGCTTTCTTGTTCGGCCTCAGTCGGGTGGAGCATGGTCTGCACTGTGTCGCGATGCGTCGCCTGCGAAGACTTGGCTTCAAATCTAGTGGTTTTGGGATTTTGGGGTTTCGGGCCTGGGGTCTAGGGGTTTATATAGGAGTTTAGAAAGGCTCGAGGGCGGCAACAGTGCCGACCGTTGTCCGTATGCAAGCAACACAGCAGGCTCTTTTGCTATCTGCAGCGGCGGCCCCGGTTGGAAAATCATGACCGCCGGTCGAACTCTCAATGTGCAGCAGAAGATGTGGCGGTCGTTCGAAAACACAGTAGGCACACCGCGCAACGTGACCGCCCTGGAAGCATTGCAGCTTTGCTGTCTACGCTGTCGGGGGACTTGGCAGCCACGCCTTGCTTTGGATGGATGACTCAACAACGCAATAGCGATGAATAGCGATGATGTACCTTTCACAACCCCTTCACCTTTAGGTCTACCGCTGCCATGAGCAACCTCTGCTCCTCTAGTCTGCCTCTGAGATATCACCATCATCGTCTGGGCGACCACCGCCTAGCGAAGCATAGACCTGCCACGATTGGGGTTGCACTACACCGTGCTGCCCTGGATTTGCTAGGAAAATAACTTGGCATCCAGGCAGAAATGCCCAGATCCTCTTCTTCCTAGCATTCTGGTTGTTATTGTTTTAGTATGAACTATCATTGAATTGGTTGTTTTTCTCATTGTGATTCTTCTCCTCAGTATTACTACTACTCTGTCTCCGCAAGCAGCACCGCGACCATCAGCGGTTCCAGCCACTTACTGGTGTCGTACACGTCATACACTGATTGTCGGTGACTACTGTATCAGTCGTTGGGAAATCTTTGGGTGTTCTTGCATGATTCCTATAGTGCCTTTATACCGGTGTTCATGCACGAACAGGAAGACAGAACAAGGAAACTCATTTTGTGGCAAGCCTCTTGACGGGTGTGTCAACACCGGCGACGCGCAACATCACATGTGTAATCCGGCCTACATCTACCTCTCGACAACCACAAAAAATACTTCTACAAGCCAAGCCTTAATGCATGGGGTGTGGTCGTTGCCGATGTCTGAAAGATGAAAGCTGTCTTTCTACTGGGCCAACTGGGCTTACCTGTTTGATATTGTTTCATTGTTGCAAACTACGACATGTGACATGGTCACACCTCCTCCGCATGGCTCCGCACTGCGGGGTCATCGTCGCCCAGAAAGCGGGCTGCGTGCGCTGGAGAGGCCTTCATCTTTTCCAATGCTGCCACGGCACTGCGCCGGACCTGGCTTCGCTGTGCTGAGAACTTGGAGCCATGTTGGCGGCTTCCGGTGCTACACTTACTTCCTGCGGGCTCGCGGCCTGCTTCACCTACTAGGGGCCTATGTGGCTTGGGAGCTGAAGGCCTCAACATCCTTAGTCCTTAGTCAGGCTTTCTGCTTCAGCTCCATTGTCTTGCACGTTGGTCCTGTACTTCTAGGATCTCCCGCCCGTCCTGGTTGTTCTCATCTTGGGACAAGGCCGCGACCTGTTCGGAGAAGCTGTCCATGTGCCTGGGGCTTTGACGCACTTCGGAAGCTCTCCTATCCCATGCTTCCCAGTGCAGTTGTCGGATGCTGCGGGAATCGTTGACACGTCGAGGAGCAGATCGCCCAGAGCCACGACCACTGCCAAGCGCACGTGCCAGTCCTCATCCAACCTGCTTGGGATGCACAAAATCCAGCACATTGGACTCTCTGTTATGCCTAGCCCCAGCTATCCCCCTTATGCGCATTCTAGATTGTGGATGACAGCCCAGCCGCAGCCGCTGTGCAACTTGGTGTATGTAAGCCCGGGCCACACTCGAGGGCAGCTTGGAGTGTAGCGGACTGAACCTGGGTCGGGCGCTGCAGGATTTCAGTTCTTGGAGTCCCCGCGGCATGAACTAAACTAAACCCCAATCCAAGATACTGACAAGATCAGAGTCAGAGAGCACTTAAAGTCTGAGAAAACAAGCAAGCAACACCTTGACTGCCGACTGTCTCACCCCAGCGTCCTCGTCCTCAAGGAAGATGAGAGCTGCCGCAGCCCCACGCTCGCCCATCTTAGCCAAAGCTGATACAGCTGCGATCCTAACGCCAGCAGCCGGGTCCTTTCGGAGCTGCTCCAGCCGTGGCGCGTAGTCCTCGGACTTGAGGCCGGAAAGAGCTTGGATGGCCGCGAGCCGGGTGGCCAAGTCTGCATCATCAAGGCAGGCAGCCACGGCAGCAGCATGATCTCGACCTGCCTTCATCTTTCCCAGAGCCAGCAGTGCACACTGACGCTGAGTTGAAGTCGCTTGCGACTCTGTCAAGGACTTTGCCGTGACCTCTGCAGCAACGGCATCGTCGAGGCTTCCCATCGTTTCGGCTGCAAAGTGCCTGAGGCTGTCGTCCGGGTCGCGGAAGAATCGCACCAGGTAGCCCGCAGCCAAACTTCCAAGTCGGCCCAAGGCCTGCACCGCGGCTCTGCGCACCTTCACATGGCGGTCAGCAGAAGTAGATGCGAGAGCTCGCAAATGCTCCTCCGCACAGTCAGCACCCAGCTCGCCACAAGCCTGCGCCGCGGCCATGCGGACTGCTGTGTCCTTGTGGGACAAGGCACGTGAGAGGCAGCCAGCATTGCCCGTGCGTGCTATGGGGCAGCGGCCGATCTCCATGACAGCTGCTTTTGCAACTGTCGGGAATGCGGATGATGTAAAAGGGGCAAGCGACTTGGCCTGGCCTACAGCTACGAGGCAGGACACCGCAGCAAGACCAACCTCTTCATCAGCATCCTGGTGCAAGGCAACCAACTTTGAGACGTGAGGTGACACCACCTTGGCACTGACTTGGCCCAAAGCGCGGGCAGCCTCACACCGGACTTCGGCATCCGTGTCTCGGAGTGCAGCCAGAAGCGCAGATGTCTCCGACGACGCACGCATTTTGCCCAGTGCCACAGCCGCTGCTTTCCTCACAGCTGGCTCCTCGTCGTCGAGGCACTTGGCCACTTGATCCGAATAAACATCTGCTGAGGGCCCACAAAGCCCCAAGGTCTGCAGGGAAAACTTGCGTGTGTTCGTATCCCAGCTGGTAAGCTGGTCCGCGGCAGACTCCATGGTCTCCTGCTCCTTGTCCCGCTCCGCATAGCCCCCTCCCTGACCCGCACGACCACCAGAGCCATTGCGGTACATGGAAGAAGTTGGAAGGGTCTCAGACGGAATGGGTCTTTAAATGCACCATCCATGCAGGTCCGGCGAACAGTTACTGGGACTTGGCGAAATCGCATTGCTTTCATCTGAAGGGGTGAACGTTCCGTAGTTGCTTGCTTCACAAACGTACTTCGGCACATCATAATTGAAGAGCAAACTGGGGCGAGCTCATGATGGGTGTGTGTGTGTGTGAGAGACGGTGCGTGGATAAGTACATACATACATCCATATCTACATGCCTAGATGACCCTACATGGCTGATCTCAGATCCATCCATGCATACATGTAAACATGCATACTTTCACACATGCACGCATACATGCATTGCATTGCATTCCATTGCATTACATCAACTTTCATGTTACACTGCATGACATCACCGTACACTACATGGCCTTTACATGACAATACAGTAAAACGCACATACATGCAGTGGCATGCCTTAGAACACGCGTACGAGCGTACGCACATACATACAAACATACATACATAGTTACATATTACATACCTATCTGAATACATGTATAGCACATACATAGTTTTAATGAAAGCATGAGTACGTCACATACATACATGCATGCAAACAGACATAAGCCAGGCGAGGTTTGAGAAATGCTTACATGCATACATACATACATACCTACGCATGTACATGCGTGCATATATTCGTACATGGATTCACTATGTTGCATACATGCAAATACATACACACATGCACCCATACATGCCTACATGTACATATGCATGCATACATGTCACACGGATGTGTATCTGTGTTTTCATCTATATAAATATGAACATACATGTACATGCGCACGCATATGTGTGTATATATATATATACAGCATACATGAATGAGTGTATATATATATATACATATAGATTTATATATGTATGTGTGTGCGCGGGGGGTGCGTATGCATGCATGCAAGCACATGTACAAACGTGCCAATCTATGCACATATATATATATATGTATATATGTGTGTGTGTTATATATACATATACACATACATACGCATCTATATGTATATATACGACATAGATGTAGACATATCCACATAGCACGACCATGCCTCCACCAGCTCTCCTTCTGTCAGGTCCTGTTTGAGGAAATCTCTCCGGTAGGAACTTGGATTCATTTAAACTTTGCTGCGTTTGCTGCTTCTGCAAATGCAGACAGTTGGAATGTTTAGGGTTGAGTTTAGGTGGCTTGTTGTTGTTGTTGTTGTTTGAATTCTGTTTGCATCCAGCTACGGTCGCCCACGAAGGAAAGGGTTTTCATACCAGGTGCTGGGTTTCACACTATGTGATTCAACAATCTGGAAAAGGGTTCCGAAGAAAGATCCAGTTTAGAGAAGTTCTCCTGCTACGTCCGTCAGCACCTTTCGACACCCGCAGGACAGTACGAATTGGAGTCATCCACACATGAACGACACCATATGATGCTACTATACACACTATACTCTACAAGCACAAGCAATGAAACTGCTTTCCTGCCCACTCGTCGTCTGTGTTGGGGAAATTGGAAGTTGGGGAACTCCACTATCCCAGCAGGGTTTTGATTTATCGAGGCAAGATAAATGGCACAAGGCCTGGATGCCGCCGTACAACTCCGGGTCCCGGGCACCACCTGCGGCACGGGTTGGGAAGAAACAGAAAAATTCATGTCAACCTGCCACTGAAGCCCATTCATGGCAGCCTGTCGAGATTCCTGGCCTGGTGCTTCAGAAGCGACAGCTTGCGACTCTTACCCATGCTTCGCTGTAGCAGTCAGCACATAGTTTTGTTTGCCACGTGCACACTCCTAACTCAGGAGAGGACAGTCGCAGCTGTGTGACAAGACAGACCAAAACCGAATACAATCCAAAGACGAGATCGTTCGCGCGTTCTGAGAGGCGTTCGCAAGACTGTGCTTCTAGCTCCTTATCACTTGCGTCCGTCGGCCGGGTTGCTTGCGGGCGTGACCGGCCAGGTAGCATGCTTGAAAAGCTTTCTTCGGCCGCTTCAGTTGCTCAGAGACTTCAACCGGTTGCGTCTCCCTCTGCTCGGAGATGTCAGGTTAGGTCTCGGCGGCCAATGGATGGTCTCCCTGCATCTCAGTTTTGCACTCGTACCAGCACATGCTTGGGCAGTGGGCTACAGTAACACCAGGAGCCCTCATGCAAAGATTCGCCGCCATTCTTGAACCCAGGCTCCATTCCACCATCAGCTGGGAATCGGCAGCTAACATCACTACTGCATGTCAGCAAACCGTCGGAGCCGCCATACTTCGCCCAGGTCGGCGACATCTGAATCACACAATGCAAAGGCGAATTCAAACTTCCGGGGGGTCCAGTCCATGCTCAGGTTTTGCAAAATCCTTCTCTTGAGGTCGTACACTCATATACTGCCTACAGTCAGACCGAGTGTCTTGTCAAAAGTAGAAGCTCCAGCCTATGTAATGCAGCAGCATGATTTTGTCATCGTCAGGCATTCGGTTCCTGGGACGGAGCTCAAAGAGGCTGGCCCACAATCGACTGATTTGTGGGCCTGAGCAGTTTGAAGAGGGTTGTGTGGCATATTATGCCTTATTATGCTGCAAGTGTAATAGAGAAGTGGGTTGCTAAAGTACATATAGAATGCAAGCAAATGCTATGACTACCATTGACCAACGTCCCTGGCTTGGTTAGGTTCTTATCCTTAGTCTGAGGTTGATGCTGGTCATTCCTATCCCTAATCCTGTTACATGACTCGTTCATGCATGTCATCGCTACGATTGACTTGCCGCGGAGATCATCAGAGTACCTCGCACCATTGATGACAGGCCAAAAAGGAAAGGCTGCCAAGCGACGGAAAGAGAGACGAGGAGTAGATCGTCCCTCAGATGTGCAGCATGGGACAGCAACCGGAGCTGTCGAAGATGGCATAACGTTGACATTCTCATTCTTGACCCCGGTTTAGAGAACTGGCCTCGACAGGTAAGTTGCACCTCGCCAAGAAGCCAAGGGTTCGAATGCCCTGTGTTCGCGGGTGCAGCTGGCCGAAGCCATTCACGATGCCCTTACCTGGGCCATATTGAGCTTTGACACAGGTCAACTTCATAGGTCAAATGAGTCATGCGGCAGGTTGTGCAGTGCAAGAGAGAGTTCTATTGTCTATGATTGCTGCCACTCTGTTGAACCCTCCCAAACCTCAGGTCTTCATCTCTTGATTCAAGTTGTTGCTGTTGTCGCTGCCCTTGCTCATGCTGTTGTTTCGTGACAATTGAGCTCTGCGCTGTTATCCTCCATGCGATGACTACGGCTCTTTAGGCAAGAGTGAGGAGGTGTTCAAGGATCTTGGAAGCCGAAGCAGCCGTGTGCAGGCTCTCGAAAAGCACCTTGGCAGTTCTTCAGAATTCTTCACGCTTGCTTTCTTCTTCTACACGGACAGACCATGATTTTGTGCGATCAAGGAGCTTCTGGGGTATTCCACCTTAGTCTACCGTGGCAACAGTCCTAGCCACTGCCACCCTGCACGGCTTCCGCAAGGAGCTGGTCTATCGATCTCTGGTGATGGTGCCAAGACGCAGTCACAGCCGCAACACGAGGATACCGGATTGCGGACAGCGTCTCAGCAGCTGGAGCGCACACCTGAAAAGAAGTGAACACGACGGCAGGAGCTAGTAAGGGACAGAGCACTCAAACTTGTCGCTCATCAACTCGACATTCAAATATCTCAATTGCCTTGAAGAGGCTTTTTCATTGCAGAAAGCCTACCCCCTTTGCCCCGCACCGGGCGCAGGAGCTCGGCTGTGACGTAGCTCGGTGCAGTGAGCACCTCTGTTGGGCTCGAGGGATTCAAGGTCCAGGATGTGGGAGTTGCACTTGCCATCAGGATGCATCAAGATTCCGCAACCACACTTAAACTCGCCAGTCGGTGAAAGACAACCAGTTCCAGTCTTCGCGAATCAGTGTGGACCGATGCCAGTGCGGGGTTGCAGCACCACTGCCACGGTCACACACCCAGCACGAGTTCCTTGCCGTAGCACAGACTGGCAGAGAAGCGACCCATCCCTGTTCAGGACTTCCTGTCGAGCAATTCTAGCGGACATGCTGGGAGGCGACCGGCCTGCCATTTCACATGTACTTTTCACTCTTTATCCACGTGTAAGGCTTCAGCGCTCTGGAACCGCATTGGCCGCGGGGCCGCGAGCACTGACGTCCACTGTCAGCAGCAAAATGCAGGCACTCACTAAGCAGTGAGAAGTATCTTGTCCAGGTCTTTCCAGAAATGCGGTTCGCGAGACGAAACTGTCGGGCCCAGGAGAGAGCGCCGTTAAGAGACAGCCGACAAGCATATTGTTTTCACGGAGGGGGCAAAGAATTGCAAATGACAGTGCTCCCAGCCCTGAATAAGCGATGGAACCTGCACTTGTGCTGTTGTGACGCCCTCTATTCAAACCCATTCCAGCGAAAGGCCCTCGAAACGAACCGTCTGAACAACTTGTTTGTATGCTTTGCACCGGACTATGGACGCTTTTGGGCTGAAGCTTTGGGAATGGGGCGCACTGGAACATGGACGCAGATTTCGGGATCCTGAATGCTTTGAATGGGGTGCACTCAAGCTTGGAATCTGTCAGCGGGGGGGGCATGGATGCTGTGCCAAGGGAACACTGCAACAACACAATGATGCACAGGCCTGCCCTGCCAAGCAATGTGGAAGATCGCCTGTCTGGCAGAAACTCCGAATGCCCCCAGCAAGCGCTTTGGCGCATCGCCTTGCTGTCATTTGCCAGGCGTTGGCATGTTGGCCTCAAAGGCACTGCAGACGCCCGCAACGAATCTGGAAGATGTCGTGCCCCTTGGGAAACCGACCCAAGTATTTCGTGCCTGATACCGGGCACGCCAATCTTGGAGCACAAACATCGTGGATTCGAGGGGTCTGCTCCACAAAGCTAGCCCTACACCCGGCCGGCGGTGTGTATCACTGCTGGCACTGTTGCAGACACAACAGCGACGCCACAGCAGCTCGTGGGTAAAGCGGCACAATCTCAAGCACCAGTGCAGCATGGCACAAACTGATTCTGAATTTTGTGAAATGCCATAAACCTACACGCTTAGCCGGTGTCCCACCAAGCCAGCCACACGCCCATGCTGGAAATTGGCTCTTTACTTCAGAAGTGCGACCATGCGATATGCAGCAGGATGCAACAACTCCAGCATTTGCAGGGAAAAGCAGCCACGATACTGCGTGCGACATGCGCAAGTCCATGGAGCAAGACCGCGTGATGCCCAAGATAGCAAATATCCTAATTACCTCATTCCTACACATGATGCACAGGCCTGCCCTGCCAAGCAATGTGGAAGATCGCCTGTCTGGCAGAAACTCCGAATGCCCCCAGCAAGCGCTTTGGCGCATCGCCTTGCTGTCATTTGCCAGGCGTTGGCATGTTGGCCTCAAAGGCACTGCAGACGCCCGCAACGAATCTGGAAGATGTCGTGCCCCTTGGGAAACCGACCCAAGTATTTCGTGCCTGATACCGGGCACGCCAATCTTGGAGCACAAACATCGTGGATTCGAGGGGTCTGCTCCACAAAGCTAGCCCCACACCCGGCCGGCGGTGTGTATCACTGCTGGCACTGTTGCAGACACAACAGCGACGCCATAGCAGCTCGTGGGTAAGGCGATGCAACGCCAAACTAGAACCAAGAATCGACTAGAAACCAAGCAGATCAGGAAGACTACAGCAGCCAGGTTGAACGTCCACGACATGTGTCAACCCGGATTACTCACTTCATGCTGACATCAACAAAGAAGAACCAAACTCCCCAATCCGGCTAGAAATTCAACCGCAACAGGAGAGCGACCGTCACCAAAGCACCAGCAGCACACGCAGGCCGCCACCTCGAGGTCCTGCTGCCGAGGGGCCACAGACCGACTTCGCAACCGAACTGCACCCTTTGGGGTGTCGTAGTCCAACACGTGGACCTACCGGGTTGGTGTGCAGCTTCGAATTAATGCACTTTTTCAGGATTGCCGTTGTACTCTCTGAGACAGGATAGGTTCATTGAGGACGGATGGGTAGAAAAGCGGAAGACTGGTCATGTTGCGCTGGTTCGCTATGTGGCAGAGCAAGCCACCGACGTGTTCTGAAAGAGATTGTACGAGGAGTTTTCGCTGCCTGGCTTTGCTCGTCGAAGGCCTCGGACAGCTCAGCTGTCTTTGAACATCATCTCTACAGCAACTTCCCGCTCATCTTCTCAAAGCCTGACGTACAACCGTGCAGCTGCACTGTCCGTGAGTCCCAGTGTTGGATACTTCGTCAGCTCCGGGCAGCCCCTCAATGCCTAGTTGCCTTGAAAGCCGGGTGTGAAACCTTATGAAAGACCCTCTTTACGTAAAATATGAAAAATCGTGGAAGCCATGGTGCCAGCTGCTTGAGCTTCCAGTTGAGCTGCACGGGGCTGCCCTTGCTGTCGATGTCTGCGCACCTCGGCCGGAACGAGGGTCTGGAGTGCAGATGTCATGAAAGAACTCAGAGCTCAGGACAAACCGGAAAAATTAACGTTGATAGTCTCGGCATGGAGAGCGGATGTGCCAGTCTTGCTATCGATGCATATGCTATCCTGCTGCTGCTCGGACTGTTGGTATAGCGTTTTACAGGTTCTTGTTGCGGTGAAGGAGCAAAGCATCGCTAAACTGCTTCAGGCCCTCCCGGAAGGATCCGACAGTCTGGCCTCCCCGCAGGGCCAGAGGTGGAGTGGATTCTACGGAGATTCAGAAGTCAAATTTCAGAGATCTGTGCTGTGTGGTTTGGAGGGCGAGTTCTCAAGGCACATGTAGCAAGGACCAGGCATGAGATCGTAAAAGCTTCGGGGTGGTGCCGATCCCCGTTCAAGACTAGAACTGGGGAATGACCAAAAAAATGTTGTCTTGGCTTCATTGAGTTGTTGTTGAAACGGCATCGCCTGACCCGAGCAGTGTTTCGCATTTCTCTACTCCAACAAGCAAAAAACCTAGGGTGTAAGCAGCAAGGCACGTATCGCCAACTTGCTCTGAAAGCTTTCCTCAGGCAACAGAAACCCGATCGCAGCCAGAAAGAAACCTGTGCGAAGGAGACTCCATAAAACCTAAAGCTTTAGACGCAAACCCGTAATCTCGCCCCCAAACCCAAGACTCTGAAACCTTGAACCTAGAGCCTCGACGCTTACAACCCCAAACCTGAAGCACCCAAGCCCTGAAACATCAGGAAGGCCTTTCACTTCTGGCAAGCGTGGGTCGCGGGCTTCTTTTTTCTCGGCCCCTCTCTCCTGGCGTACGAGTCCTAAATATTTCACACAGATAACCCGACCTACCTGCCTAGTACCTACACGCTACCTACGTACCAATGCACCTATGCACCAAGATACGCAGCAAATCACAGATCCAACAGCCTACGGTTTCTGCACTCGGTCTGAGACCCGCCATAGAACTTCCATGTTAACACAAAGAACAGAAGCTCCACTGTGGACGATGCCCACATCTCATGTCTCTCGGATCGCCATGAACCTATCCTAAGGTCCTGAGCTCTGCGGACGGATCCCGTGTGTTGCCAGGGTAGAGCTTTGCAAAGCTCGTATAGCCGGACCCAAGGAATGACTTGTATTCAGGCACACCGAAATAAGAAAAACGTCGGAGATTGGCAGTGTGCGGAAGTGGAGAAAAAGTCGAGCAGGAGCAACGAAATCGCATTTTTGGACAGCACCCGAGGTAGTAGGAATGAACGGACCATACGTTTGCGGGCACGTTTTGGAACACTGAATGCGCCCTGGCATCGGGCAGAAAATTCTGCGGAGTCCCTAATACTAAGAACAAGGTTCTGGGTCGGCCGTGCTGCGAGAATTCGGGCATTAGTGGGTCGAGCAGGTGCGCTCTTCACGTTAGAAGAACTGTGAACATGGACGCCATCACCAAGTGTTGTCTTACACGGCGGAACCACCCACTTCGGGGCCTGGAAGAGCTGGATGGCCCCGGCCTCAGTCCAAAGACTCTAGGAAGACTACGACACGCTACGACACCCCTCGGTCCCGGTTCTTCTCCGGGTCGTCAGTGGGGTCCTTGAGCTTTCGGGGTTGAGGGCTAGCGGTGTGTCAAACCCGGTTCCTGCATTCATCCTCTCAGCTCCTACGCGCAACCAGAACTCTATAGCGGCGACACAGGCTTCGGTGCGCAGAGTTTGAATAAACTGTCGGACCGACTGGTTATAGGTGGCTGAAAGCTTCGACGTGTTTCGGCTCCCAAAGCTGGTACTCGAAGTGGTGGCTGTGTAAGGCCCTGGCTACGAGGGAGCCTGCTTTCTTCTCGAGCACCTGAACGTGGCTCAAGTTTCGAACGGGTACCAGTACCGCGGTGCTGTTACCTTCTCTTCACGCTCTGCCGGGCAAGCGCCTGAACACGACCGGTTGCAGCTTCAGCAGACAACGTGGAGGGATCTCCGGCGTAGACCTTAACATGCATCGCACGAGACTGTGTGGAAAAAGCTTATCTTTCGTTAGTGCAGAACACCGAAACCAAACACCTGCATTCAAACGGAAGAAACGGACATGCCAAAAGCTGGGGGCCCCCACGCCGCTAACGAAAGGATCGATGAGACGCTGGAATGCCTGGATCGCTTCTTGTCGCTGTCTAAGTCGGTCGTCGAAATAACGAATCAGAGTACAAAAAGTAGTTGTGAGCACTATGCAACGAGTGTGTGGAGAGGGGCACAAGGCAGGCCGCTTGCTTTCCGCACGTGTGCACGCGGAAGTTCCGGTTCTGTACTATGTGAAATCGAAAAGGTGGCTTTGGCTTTGTACAGGGAGCCGTGAAAGAGGGAGCGGCGCGGTGGCAAGTGCTCCGGCCGCGAGGTTCGGCCTTCATTTCAAGGTTGCCTCGAGCCCTGCAAGCTCTGGCGTCACTATCTGGCCAAGGAAGTAAATCGTACCATCGCTGTCGCTGAGCATGAAGAGAAAAGGCCGATCGACTGTCATCGGCACTGCGGGCGGCGGGAGACACCTGGTCATCATCACTGCGCCAGTTGCTGCTGCGGCGACGGTTCCCTCCTCATTGACTTCCAGGGTCGCCTTGTGCACCACCTCGCTCAGGTGCACCTGTGGATCGTCCGACATCTTCAGGAAGCCACCATTCGAGTCGAAGGTCTCCTTCAAGCCGAGCTCCCGTAGCGCAGTGGTGATGGAACCACCGGCGCTGAGGCGGAAGCGAGGAAGACTTAGCTCAACTTCCACGCCGCGCATCCCGCTCAAGGATTCCCAGGTTTTCTCCAGTGAAATAGCCACTTCGGACAAAGCCGCTGCACCCTCCTTTCTGGGGAGGATGATGGTTGCCCAAGTTTTCTCGTCGTTGTATGGAAGTCGCACAGCTTGAAACGCATCATTCTCGGTGTACGCTACATTCTTCTCCTTCTTATACATCATGTCGCATGGGAGAGCTGCTGTAAAGCCTTTGAACTCTGACTTCTTCGTGAGCTTGACGTCGAAGACTGTTGCCCACGAGCCTTTGAAGAACACAGTGTTGACCAGCACCAGCACGGTGAGGGGGTCCAGCGCACCATCGAAAAGAGACGGAATGCGCCCGTTGGTCTTGTCCTTGACCCAGTCGTTGATGGGTTTGGGGTCCGTGCTCGTGAGCTGCTGGGCATCTGCACCGAACTTGCCTTGGACTTCTTCCACGAACTCGGGGCGGATCAACATTCGAACCCACGCGGAGTTGTCCATTTTCACGGTGCTGTCAGGGGGCAAACTCGGAACCAAAGCCTTGAGCAAGGTCATCAGCTCCTTTTGAGCTCCGGATCCCTCTGTAGCACCAGCTGCCACCATTGACAGGCAACCGGAAATGGAGAGCGGGGAGATAAGGACGTTCTCGCCAGGCCGCGATGTTAGCAATCGAAAGAGCGAGAAGCCGAGTGGGTTGATCACAGCAGCCAGCGACATTGTAGGGGAATCGATATCAATTTATCAATTTCTGCAAAAAGACGACTTGAGCTAGCGGCTTCAGTCGGATTTCGGGGGCTCTTGGTTTTGGATTTCCGAAACCCACAAGAGTGTGCACGAAAAACTGCTGAGAGTATTTTTCGGCATGCCGTGGCAGATCGTGTCGGATTGAATGCACGCACTGATTCAGGCCCCATCTACCTGATGTCCTGCATTGTATTTTCATGCATGTTCTCGATCAAAAACTTCTGTCTGCCGCAACCGCTACTGCTGCTTCCGGTGCGTAACGCAGAAGGGAATATTGTCAGGTAGAGGGGTTAGCTGCTAGCCCCTGGGAGGGCTGTGAGAGCTGGGCTCAGGCACAGTCAGCTTTCTCGACTCAGGCCTTAAAGCCTGAGTTCTGGCGTTTCGGAATCGCCGATTGTGCAGCGGACACAAAGGGTGCAGTAAGCTGCCACGGATGCAACGCACACCTCTCAGCTTTGGGCACCCCAAGCTCACCTCTGCATGATTCTATGCCCTACATGTTACCTGCACCATATGATCCGAGCTAAAGTCGCAGAGTTTCGGACTGGGAGGGCAGCATCTGCATGCTTCGGCCACATCTCACGAGTCTTGCTGCCCATCAGACAGGTCGGAGCCTTGCAGAAGCCGGCTCATGTGGTGACTTCGGAAGCTTGGGCAACCATGAGGGGGCATGTCCACGTGTCACACCTGCATCTGATTTCGAACCCTGACGTTGAACATGTAACATGATCATGCTGGGCATGTGGACGGCAGCAGGTTCCAAAACATCGTTTGTCGTAACCTTTACCTGCCTCACCTTTCAGGTTCCTAAAATCACCGAGAACCCCCTTTTTCAAAGGCTGCCTCTCCTCTCTGGAAAGCCTCCGAAGCCTTTAGAACTCCAAGCGGCCGGGAGAGGTAAGGATCCCCTCTGCCGCCTGCGTCTGGGTTTCGGGACTACTGATGATACAAATCCCTAGGGTTCCTTTAAAGGGATCTATAAGGGTACCTTTAAGGGGTTCCCTTAAGATTAGATCCGGGGCTGCAATTGCCAAGCAAAATCTGTTGCGGTCTCAGTACCACGCCTATGTCCTATCCACGACGAGCTCTCAACAGGACGCGAAGCACTTACAGTACGAGGTCGAAGTACAACACTCCACATCAAAAACCTCAATGTTGACTCCTGGCCAAACAAAACCTTTCCTGAAAAAGGTCGCAACATGACGGCGAACATGATACCTTGGAGATGGGGGGTTGGGAGTAGTCCCTAATCTTCCTGCAAGGTTCCCGAGTACCACCACCCTCCCTTAAGGATCCTCAGATTCACTTGCAAGAGTCTGGGCCATCTGCCAGAAGCTTCCGAATCGAGCGCGCCCAGTACCAGGCAGGACAACAGAATCATTTGGGATTCGCTAGGGCCTCTGTCAAACACACGTTCAGCGCTCGTACCCCGAAAACCTAGAGAGCTCGAAAGACAACGTTGTTGCAAGTGAACCGACCGATCGCACACTCCTAAACACTGAACCAAAACAGACAACGCAACGAAGGCGCTCAAAACTTTAGGATGCCACCTCGAGCACGGCCCCCAAAACGGGGGAGGACTTGCCACCGCCGCGCCTGCCTCGACAATCGAATGCAGGAGTCTAAGTAATTGAGAATGCTAGGGGTAGTTACTGTGCAGAGCTTGGGGGGCCTTACAGTTTGCACAAACTAGTGACGAGTGTTCTGGGCACTTGTATCAGTATTCCAGTTTTTGCGCATAGACAAGTCCTTATTGCCCATATAGATTGAAATCGCTGGAGAGGTAAAGAGTCGAAACGAGTTCTCCAGCACCCCCGACACATCCTGAAATCTGGAGCCGACAGTCTCCAGACTCCACCCCTAGCCCAGAACTCGTGCACTGCTCTGTCAAGCCGATGCACCCTAAACTCAGCACCCTGAAGTCCGAATCAAGCACACCTGCGTCTGCTGAAGCAACGACTGAAGCCCTGAGCTTTCGGTCCCATCTCCCTCTTCCCAACAATCTCAACCCCAACTGACTACTGACTACTCCACCCGAGAGACACATGCTTTTTTTCAACCACCTTCTCCAAAAAAAAGAAAAGGGGGGCCTCCGGGAAGCTCCTCCTCGGAGTCCTCCTTGGTGTCGACCCGGCGCCCGCTGGGCGGCCCTGTTGCGGATGGATGGTGTGGAGGGTGTTGGGTGTGGGCGCTCTCGGAGAATCCAGGCGAGGCAGGATGGAGGGGTTGGGTTTTGGGATTTTTGGCGAGAGCTTGGGGTTTGGGGTCTTAGGCTCTGCTTTAGGTCTCTAGGGCTCACGGATTTTACTTAGGGGTTTGAAGGTTTTGGTTTCAAGGCCTGGGGTTACACTGGGGTTTAGATACATACATACATACATACATGCATACATACATACGCACACACACATATGTATATATATATATACATATATATATATGTATATATATATATATATATATATATCAGTTACTACGATCGCAGACGTTCGGTGCCCTCACTGAACAGACTATCGGCGATCGCACCTTTTTCATGCGACCGCAACGTGGGAGTCGGCCACAGTCGGATCATCAAAATTTCACTTGATCTTCACAAGTCCGATCGGACCCCCGATCGCCGAGGGGTGCGCCATGGCATTCGCCACAGACCGCAACATCATCCGATCGGACACATCAGACAAGCGATATTCCCCGCGAACAAAATTAAAAGTCTTCGATCGGATCATCGGGCTCCGGCGACGGCTCCTCGATTGGATCATCGTCGAGGGGGGCCGCGCCGAGCAAGTCAATCAACTGCCGCTCGGCGGCACGAAAAGCTGCATCAGGAGCAGCTTTGGCGCTCGTCCGAGCGGGAGTAGCGCGAGAAGCCTGGTACGCCGCGATCTGGGCGGGAGTCGGGGGCGCCTTGGTCGGCGGACTCGAGCTCCTCGTAGACACCATGATCTCGGTGCCGGGAGGGAGCGGCGTACCGGGCGGGAGCTGATCTAGCCGCCGCGGGGGCTGCCCCGGAATGACATAGTGAGCCGGTCCGCTGATGCGGACATCATCGGGCACCGTGTCGAGCGATCTGGGGGGCTGCCCTGGAACTATGTACTGAGCAGGCTCGGCGAACAAAGGAGAACGCCCTTTCGGAGCCGCTCGGCCTTGGCGCGGCAGACCAGCCTTGGGATCCACATAGTAGACCGGCTGATCCATGCCTCTGTTTCGATGAGCTCTGGCCGGGGGCGCTTTGGGCACCGGCCGCTGAACAGAGGGCACGCCCATCACTTGATCCCAGTTGAGGGGAGGATCTGCCCCGTGATCGTAGCCGGCCGGCTGGTGACGATCGCGATCACGATGAGCCGGCGGCGTGACCCAGGGGGTCTTTCGGCAGAAATGACACATATCCAGGCGACGATCGCAAGCCGTGCACAAAGGAGTGCGCTGGTTGGGGGCCCACTCTTCGCGGGGGACCCGAACGGCTGCGTAACATTCGTCTTGGCCGTCCCCGTCGCAGAAGCAGCCGGTGAACAGGCCGCAATCCACGCAGGGACGGCAGAGCTGATCTGTGTCGCCGAAAGCGAGCGCTTGAAGGCCAACGTCGTTGCGAGGATCCCGCATACCGAAAAGAACAGATAGGGTGGAGAGGGTGGGATTTTTCGGTATGGCCCGATCGGCTATCGCCAAAATGGCCACGGAGAAGATAGATCAAGTCTGTTCCAACGATCGCGAAACTGATCTCCTAATTCCTACCCACCAGACCGATAATTAGGAGACCAGTTACTACGATCGCAGACGTTCGGTGCCCTCACTGAACAGACTATCGGCGATCGCACCTTTTTCATGCGACCGCAACGTGGGAGTCGGCCACAGTCGGATCATCAAAATTTCACTTGATCTTCACAAGTCCGATCGGACCCCCGATCGCCGAGGGGTGCGCCATGGCATTCGCCACAGACCGCAACATCATCCGATCGGACACATCAGACAAGCGATATTCCCAGGCCCTCAAACTCCTTTCGGAAAGTCCGAGAGGACAGTGATCCAACCACACATCAGACCTGTAGCGACATCACCACGAGAGGGATTATCCGCCGGGTTCGAATCGGTCGGTACCCGATCGATATAAACAGAGCACCTAAGCTCCAGAACAAGCTCCCAGAAAATTCCTACGAGCTCGCAGACGTCCTCTTTTGCAGAGTAGCCTTTGATCAAAGCTGCCTCTACAGGCTCGGAATCGATAAAGAGGAGGACCAGCTTTCCACGGATCTCTTCCCTGAAAGTCTGTATCGCAGCGACCGCGGCCAAAAGTTCGATCATGCAAATTTGGGTTTTCCGGGGGAACCACCTCGACATGATCTGCCGTGACACCCCCGAGGCGAATTGCCTAGGCTGATCGTCCCTAGTGAACATCACTCCTCCAATCATCTCAGAAGAGGGATCCTTGGGGTTCGAGCTCGGCGCCGATCCATCCGTGAAAATCACCACGTCGGACTTCCGCGGCCCCGAACTGGGGATAGGCCTCGGAGGCCCATGCATCACGAGCGTCCGCCACTTGTAGAGGGAGTAGAGGAGAGCAGGCGATAGGCTCGTACTGACCGTCTTCCGGGAGTATTGCCTCTCCGACAGAGATCTCAGGAAGGCTCGGCCGATCTTCCCCCAGAGCTGCGAAGCGCCGAACATCAGCTTTCCTCTGAGCTTCCCGGCTTGGCCGGGAGACATCTCTTCGTGTTCCAGGATCGACGAGATCTCGTCGAAGAGCTCCTGCTTCCTGGACTTCTTGATCTTGAGCAAGTACTGATCGAGGTCATAGGTCACGCCCAGGATCGTGGGATCCGAGCAGAGCTGGAGCTTCTGCTGATCGAACCGGGCCCCGAGCCACCAATGGACCTTCTCGGCCAGCGCGAACGCACTATCTGCCGTGGCCTCCGGCTCGAAGCCGTACTTGTCGTCATAGAAGTTGAAGCCGGCCACGATGAACACGCGCCTTAGAATGT